AGATCAGCATGATCAATCGTGCTTAGGTCAGCAAATTCATGCTTGCTTTGTATAATAGTTCCAGGATCTTGGCTTGCACATCCTCCAGGAAGGTGAAATTAAAAGACTTGCTTTGTTTCATCATCTACACAGATTTGCTCATATCCTTGTCCAGCCAAAATTTCCCCTCTTTGGTATTTTCTTTATCAAATTCCTGGTCCCACTGCCCTCTGAAATTGACTACATTCACCAGAACCACTATGACGGAGCTGCTAAGAGAGCCACTGGGAAATAGGTCCTTGATTATTTTCATTTGTTTGGCTTTCCACCCAGGAATTAATCTTTTGACTTTACTCCACAGCATTTACAAAATCAGCAGATTTCACACTGACTGGGTAAAATTTCTTAGCATTACCCAAGAATTCCCGATGAAATTGATAACGGTCATTTCTCCATAGAGCCTGTAGGCGAAATTCAATTCATATGCATCAGTGAGTTTCTTTAACTCAGTCAGAAGCTTTTGAAATTGGTGATGCACATATCCTGACTTTGCAACATGATCTGTTGTAGCTCTTCCTTTCGTGTTTTCTGCGACTTCATTAAATTAAAGGACCTACTCAATGTTGAGTACAGTGATTTCTCGGGCCGCTAAGCAGAGCAGGGCTAATGCTGATGAAATGTTGACAGAGGAAAAGAAAATGTTGTCCTCCTTTGATTTTCCAAAACCAAGGAGCAGACAGATAAATGCAAAGTGGGTGTTTGCTTCATGAGTGATATGCTAGCATTTTCAAACTAAGGACCTATTATAGTTTTAATTTTTTGATCCATATTTTCTTTATTCAAGCTCTTCTTTTCCATGGGTTATTGAACTGCAGAATTTTTGTCTATAATATTTTAAAATAAAATGTTACTTTCTTTGGCACATGTGTGTGGTGATGGGTTGTAATTTGGGTGGTGAACATGATGTAATCTATGCAGAAATAGAAGTATAATGATGTACACCTGAAATTTATACAATGTTATAAACCAATGTTACTGCAATAAACAAAAAATTTTAAAAAAAGTTCCTGTCTTAACTTATAAAATAATACCTATTCACCAAAGATATTTTGACAGTGCGCTTAAACTTTTTAGTAGTGCTTTCCACAGATGTTATGAAGAAAAATAAGTTAACCACAATCATCTTCTTTTTTCGTATCTGCTAATAATATGGCACATGACAACTTTTATAATTACAGTTTTCTCTGCACTGTCTTCTGTAAGAAAGAGACACATCCAAGAGTAAAGAACTGTATCAATGAGACTATTGTACATGATAAAAGATCTGTATAAAGTAAGAAATTGGAGAACTTTTAAACTTTTGTAGTAGATAGTCTCCAAAGATTGCTTCTCTGTTAGTTTTCTAGGGCTGCTGTAACAAATCACCACAAACTGGGTGGCTTAAAACCACAGAAATGGATTGTCTCACAGTTCTGGAGGCCAGAAATCCAAAATCAAGGTGTCAGCAGGGTTGGTTCCCTTTGAAGGCTCTGAGGGAGAACCTCGGAGGGAGAATCCATGACTCTCTCCTCACTTGTGGTCCTTGCCAGTTGTAATCCTTGGCATTCCTTGGCTTGTAGCTGCATCATTCCAATGTCTGCCTCTGTCTTCACATCTCCTTCTGCTCTGTGTGTCAAATTTCCCTCTCCTTTCTAGGATGATGTCATCTCAAGATCTTTAACTTCATTATATATGCGAAGACTCTATTTCCTAATAGTCACACTTACAGGGACTGGGGGCTAGGACTTGAACAAATCTTTTCTTGGGGGACACAATTCAATCCACTACAGCCCCCAATGAAGCACACTTCCTGGTATTCCTGCCTTTGTGTAGTCTCCTCTTTTGTATCAGGGTGGGCCCTGTGACTTGAGCGCCACAGAAGTGATGCTGTGTGACTTCAAAGCTAGATCAGGAGAAGGCTTGCAGTTTTCATCTTGGTATTTTGGAACCTTCACTCTCGGGGCAGCCAGACACCATGTAGGAAGTCTTACTACCCTGCTGGAGGTATCAAGTGGAGAGGACCCGAGAAGATACAGAGAGAGAGAGTGAGGTCCAGCTGAGCCTAGGCTTCCAGGCTTCTTGCTTCAGGCATCAGGGAAAGAAGCTCTTTCGCAGTTAAATAGCACCGAGTGACCCCACTTGATGCCACGTGGAGCATCTATTGGTTACTCAGCCAAGGACTGTCCAAACTCCTAACCCACAAAGACATGAGCTATAATAAAATGGTGTTGCTTTAAGCCGCTAAATTTTGTGGTGGTTTGTTAATAGCAACAAACAGAACTTATTTTTAATTTCTATTTTTCTATTGAAAATAAATAATTCATATATTGAAATAAGGGGACTAATAATAGTAATACGTAAATTTAATTACAAAGAATCAATTTCTAATTAAAGCATCAAGAATCTTGTTAGAAAAGGAACTAAATTATTCCTTCTCGAGTTCTTACGTATTCATATGTGCACTTTATGTACATTTAACTCACGTCTTTAGTTTTTAAGTCCCAACGTGTGTTATTACGTGGGTTATTAAGCAAGCATCATATAGTATGGATTACTTTACATTCACTCATTCATTAGTTCAAGTCAACATTTATTAAGACCCTGCTACAAGCCAAGCACAGTGCATAGTATTGGAGACTCAAAAATGGATAATACATAGTTCTTGGCATTGGAGAGCTCACAGTCCAGGGACAATAGTGGGCTGGGTTGTATTAGAGATACGCATATGAACGAGTCTCCAAAGCAGATCTACAAAATTTTTTTGAGAAATAAGCAAATCAATGTTTTCCCTCCAGCGATGAAACATCAGATCTTTGAACAGTTGGCTCCTTCTCATTGAACTGGTCTCAGTCCAAATGACTTCTCAAAGAGGCCTTCTTTGACTATTGCATCTGCAATTCTCCTTCTCTGATTCCATTCCTTTTAATCCCATCACACCCTTTTATTGTTTTCATAAAACGTATTATTTTGTGAAATTAGCTTGTTTATTTTCTGCCTCATCCCACTATCATGTAATCTTCATGAAATGAGGGATCTTGTTTTTGTTCACTACATATTCCTAGCACTAATAACACTGCCTGGCACATAGCATGTACTTTAAAAATACTATTGAATGAACAATGTACCCAAATTACTGTAATATGTTGTTGAAACCTTTTATGGTGCCCTCTCTATGAGACACCTTGAGAGTGTATTTATATTTAATTTTATTTAATTCTAGTCTCTCTCTTAGGACAGTTGTTCTTTCCCCATCAGGTAGTAGATAGTTTTCCTCTTGGTTATCAGTCAAATTTTGTAGCTCCTCCCAAGAAGGTGAACAGGATTTCATGGCATCTATTTAGTGTTCTAGCTTCTCTCTTGGTATCACCTTCCTTTTAAATTCTTTTGTCTGCTTTCTTCAATTAAAATGATTTGTTTTATCCCATGTTTCTAAGTAAAGTAGATTGAATCCTTCTCAGAACAAGATGAAGCTATAAGTAAACAAGTATAATTTAAACTTGATAAGATACCAGATGATTTTCTGTCTTCTGTTTTGCAAGTCTCTCATAGACCTGGTTTCCTGCTACCCCTCAACCTAGCAACTCGAAGAGTAAGCCCGCATTACTGCGTGGGCTCCAAAATGGAATGAATAAAACAGATTCTACTTTGTTAGTGAGCCACTAATACGCAAAAATGTGGAAAGTTTTGTTCTTAAGCACTTTCCAAGCACTGTGGCAGTGCTTTCTACAAGGGCAGCTCTTTGGCTCCTGGCCCGGAACTCTCGCCTCATCCCCTCTGCTCAGCAAAAACCAAACAACAAAAAGAAACATTCAACATTTATTTTTTGTTCTAAGAATTAACACATAGTTGCAAGAAAACCTAAATTTTGTAAGATAAAAGATGTTACAAATTTATTTCCATTGTTTCATAATTCTTATTTACATTTTTCAAAGTAAATTTTGTATCACTCTCCTCCCAACCCCCTCAGCATCAATCGCTTTGTAGCCTTTTCCTGGTACCAATTATGATAGAGTAGGAAGGCCCCCTAGTATGTGCTAGGAACTGTGGGGAATCCAAACACGTCTAAGGTTTCAGCAACAAGAATCTTAAGAGCTAGCAGGGTGTGCAAAAAAAAATCAATTTCAACAAAGGAAGTTAGAAAGGCACAGTTTGATGTGCATAAAATCCCCTGGAGAACTTGATACAATGAGATTATGGATCCCATCCCTAGAGATTCTGATAGGAAGGTAGGGGTAGGGGGAGAGCTCTCCTCCTAACTCAGATGCCTTAACTACTCTGTACGGTGGCTATATAAAAAGATAGCCATCTTTCGCGGTGGGTTAGGACAGGCACCGACAACCCTATAGTTGCCTTAAGCACTCGTCTCATATTTAATCTAAGTGTCACCCCCTAGTGAAAAGAGGGACGTCTTTGGGAGGTTAAGAGAAAGTGGGAGTGGTGGTGAGTTCGAGACGTTTTTCGGAATCCTCGGCCCCTCGAGCTCGGACACCAGCCCTTGGAGTATGCCTTAAGAGCCCCTCGTCCCTCTTCCACTCCCCCCAGGGTTTAAGAGGAATCGGATGACCCTCTGAAACGCAGGCTGGCACAGTCCAGGCAAATAAAGCCAAGACAAACTGGGGCAGCGGCTTTTAGTAATGCCTTTTATAAATAAACCCTTTCTTTTAACAGTTATTTTCAAGTATGAAAATAACTCGAAAATACATTCTTTCGGAAAAAAATGAGGAAATATTAGAAAAGCTTGCCCCTCTCCCCCGTGTAACCATGGCTGGCTGTCTGGCATGTATGCTTCCAGGACTTTTGCTGTTCATGCACACACACTACCCATCGGTGATACACAACATCACTTGCACATCTCATTCCGTGCTTCACGTGAACGCGCACCACACTGCAGAAAAAGTCTCACAGCTTGCTTCCCTTGCTTTACGAAGTGTCGCAACGTCTCGCCCTCTTCAGCGTCCTTCCGACGGCGGCTCCGGGGGCCACGTTGGCCCTTCTGACCCTAGCCGCCGAGGGGCGGGGTCGAAGAGCCTGGAGCCCGCGGCGTGGCGCAGACGGCGCGCGGCGATGACGCACTGCGGTGTGCGCGAAGACGGCGGCGGCCACGGCGCAGGGGCGGGGCCAAGGCTGCGGCAGCGTCAGGCGCGCGCACACGTTGCAGCTTTTCGCTTTCGGCGGGTCGGGGTGGTTCCGGCGCCAGGCAGGCGCACTGACAGGTGGACCCGCAGACGGTGGAGATGGCGGCGCTCTGTCTGACCGTGAATTCAGGAGACCCTCCCCTGGGTAAGGGGCCTAGGCCGCCGACCGGCGTGGGTTGCATCAGCCCGGGAGGGTGCGGGGCAGGGAAGGTCGCCGCGCCCCGGCTTTGCGCAGTGGCGGGCTCCGTCGGGGAGACTGGGCCTGCCCCTCTCCCCCGAACTGTGCGCGGAGTGGGCTCCGCGCCCCTCGCCCTCTGTCCCCTGGCGGGTGCGTCTGCTCCTGAAGACAGTTTCCCCGGGCGGGGAGGGAGGCGCGGTGTGAGTCCCTGCAGGGCGACACGAGGCTCAGCTTCGGACCCTCTCTCGCAGAGGGATGCCTCCCAGCCAACTCCCTTCTCCCTCTTTTGAGTGGTTTTCCCTGGAGACCGAGAGCTGCTCGTAGAAATAACATGTTAAAGCTTAAAATACTGTTACCTTCTCATCCCCTCTTTTAGCATTTTTCCCTATTCATCTCACTTCCCTTTCTCCCTCCTCTCAGAAAAGATCTTCAATCCGCTTGACTTAACTTTTCTTTACGTTTCATTGAGTTTAAAGGCAACAAGGCAGACGATCGCAGTAGCATTTAAAATTTCAGCTGAGGTTGCATTTCTGTGTAATTAAAGATGCAGAGTAATTGCTGGAACACCCAATTACGCTGCGGATTGGTGGGGTTGCTTTACTACATGCCAAATGGATGTAGTAAACGTCGAACCGTCACCTTCCTGATACATCTTAAGTTCGATTTAGAATTGCTTTCTCAACGTGGCCGAGATTATTGTGGATAGATAGCTTAGAGTTTCTGCCTTTTTATTACTTTGGGAAACGACACGAAAGAATTCAAGTAGTTTATTGATCTCGTATTTGTTAACGCGTATATGCAGTATAGACGCACATTTCTAATGTTCCAGAAGCCCAGACCTTTAGATACAATTGGCCACATGGGGCTGATAGAATTACTCATTACGTTCTCAACTTTAGTGTTGTTTTGAGTCTGTTGGAACAAAACCCGCAATTTAATAGCCATTTTAAATATTTTAAAAATGATAATGTTCTGGCATATTGATTCCAGTAATTATGGGCTCGCCTCACACAAATCAATAAACTCTAAAAGAAAGGGGTTTGATTCTTGGGCTGGAAAGCACTAGACAATATGGCCTCATGGTTGAGAGCAAAGACGTTTGGTTCCTGGAGACCTGGGTCCAGTTCTGGCTACCACTTACTAGTTATGGAACCTTGGCAAGTTCCTTGTTTGGCTTCTCCTACAGTTTCCTTGTTTTAAGAAAGGAGGAATAATATCTTCCACAAAGGGTTGGTTGCCAGAATTAAATGAGATTGTAGGTAAAGTTCCCAACACATTTTAGATAAACAGCTATGGTTTTTACTAATGTTACTTGGGTGATTTGTCCTTCATTGCAGCCCATTATTTGGTGCATGAAATTTAATTTTTCCCCTATTGCTGATGATTCTAACCTTGATTACTTAAGATGGTATCTGTGAGCTTTCCCCACTACAGAGTTTTCCCTTTGTAATTAACAGGCATTTTGTGGGGACATGCTTTGGGATCATGTAAACATTCCACTCCCCATGAAAACTTACTGGTTTCAGCATCCATTGATGCTTCCTGCCCCACATGATTATTATAAGATGGCACCAAATGGTGACCTTCCCATTCTACCATTCCTTCTGCATGTATTAGTCAGCATTTTTCTGTGAGAAGAGCTTTCTCTTCCCCATTAAAAAAAAATTCATAGCAAAATGTACTCAATAGGTTATAATCTGTGTTATTTATTTTCATTTTCTATTTTTAAAATTTTATTTTTTAAAATTAGTTGTATTAAGTTATAACTTGTATATAATAAAGTTCACCAATTTTTTTTTTTTTTGGTGAGGGAAATTGGCCACGAGCTAACATCCGTTGCCAGTCTTCCTCTTTTTTTGCTGAGGAAGATTGGCTCTGAGCTAACGTCTGTGCTCATCTTCCTCTATTTTGTATATGGGATGCCACCACAGCATGGCCTGATGAACGGTGCATAGGTCCACGCCCGGGATCTGAACCTGCGAACCCCAGGCTGCCGAAGCAGAGTGTGGGAATAAAGTTCACCAATTTTAAGTGTACAAATTGATTGCAAATATGTACAGTGTGTAATCTCCACCACAATAATGATATAGAATATTTTTGTTGCTTCAGAAGCTTCCCTCATGCCCCTTTGCAGCCAGTCCCCTTTCCTCATCTCTGGCCTCTGATAGTCACTGATCTGCTTTCTGTAACTGTTGTTTTGCTTATTCTAAAATTTCATACACATTGAATCAGATCATGTATATTCTCTTTTTCTTTCTTTTTTTTTGTGAGGAAGACCAGCCCTGAGCTAACATCCATGCCAATCCTCCTCTTTTTGCTGAGGGAGACTAGCTCTGAGCTAACATCTATTGCCAATCCTCCTCCTTTTTTCTTTCCCTCAAAGCCCCAGTAGGTAGTTGTATGTCATAGTTGCACATCCTTGTAGTTGCTGTATGTGGGACGCAGCCTCAGCATGGCCGGAGAAGCGGTGCGTCGGTGCACGCCCGGGATCCTAACCCGGGCCGCCGCTAGCGGAGTGCACGCACTTAATCGCTAAGCCACGGGGCTGGCCCAGATCATATGTATTCTTTTGTACCTAGGATAAAGCTTTGAGATTCATCTATCTTTTTGCCTGTAATAGTAGTTCATTCTTTTTATTTGCTGTATAGGATTCCATTGTATTGATACACTAAAATTTATATCATTTACTTCAGTGGTCAAATTGCCCCTATTTGCCAGTGGGAGCCCCTCCAAGCTGGCCTTTGTGTCCTTTTGGCATAGCTCTTATCCATTCTTTGTGTACTTGTTGCTTTCTAGCACAATAAAATTTTCCAGGTTTATCTTGTACCTTCCTTGCCACAGCCCTGTTTCCAGTGGAGCATATTTAGAAGCCAGTGTCTGGGTACTGGTTGTCCATCTTAGCCAAATTAAGGGACAGAGGAATAATGAATCAATTTAGTCAACTTTGTTATGTGTTGAGAGGAAGATTACGTTTTAGAGTTTGAGTCCTGGACTGCCTTAGACCTGCATTTAAATACTGACTGCCACATATTTAGTCAAGGACTTTGGGCTAATTATATAATCCTTAGAAGTCTCAGTTTCCTCTTCTGTAAAGAGTCCACCTCTTAAGGTTACTACAAAGATTAAAAATTATAAGGACTGTAAAGCATTTAGCACAGTGCCTCCTAGATAGCAGTCATTCAAATACTATTAACAATAGCATTTATACAAAATACTATTCTGATTTCTTCTTGTCTCCTGATGGAGGAAAAGATTAATTTCAGTGTCCCTCACTGGAAGCTGAGCATATTCAAAAGCAGTTGGACTGTGCCAGTGAAGGGATTCTGATTTGTTATTTCTCCAAGACCAGATGACTATGCTTTCTGTTTACAGACTGCTGAGAAAAAAGTTTACTCCTTGCAGGACTTAATATTGGTTTGTTGACTCATCTTTATTGCTTTATGATTCATGTTTTAAATACTACATTGTTTATAAAGAGAAATAAATCTTTTCATCTCCTTGTTTTTTAGGAGCATTACTGGCAGTAGAACATGTGAAAGGCAGTGTCAGCATTTCTGTTGAAGAAGGGAAAGAGAATATTCTTCGTGTGTCTGAGTAAGTGCTTTTATATCTCTGTTTTCAGTGCTGCACAGCATTTTTAAAATATTCAGGGTTAAATGTATGCTTGTTTTACTTGCTAATTGGTAGATCGTCCCTAGAAAGAAGTATGGTTTTCTTCCTCATTCTAAAAGAACTATATGTACTCAGAAACTTAAATTTGTCAGCAAGCTGTCTGATTTCACTTGTGTAATCTGTTTAAAAGAAACTAGAAATGTACAGAAAGATTTATATAAGGGTTTTTAATTCCATTGTAATTTATTCCAGTGGAAAATTGGAAATACAGTCATGTGCTGCATAATGACATTTGGGTCGACGACAGACGGCATAAATGATGGTGGTCCCATAAGATTAGTACCATATAGCCTAGGTGTGTAGTAGGCTATAGCATCTAGGTTTCTGTAAGTACACTGTTTGATGTTCACACAACTACGAAATCGCCTAACGACGCATTTCTCAGAATGTATTCCTGTCATTAAGTGACACATGACTGTATTTAAAACCAATAATAATAAGAAATTAATAAATTTGGTAAGTCCACAGCATGGAATATTAGGCATCTACGAAAAAGAGGCTTTTGAAGAATTTTTATGGATATGTTCATAATCTAATATTAATAGAAAAGCAGGACATAAATTTAAAATTACATATCTACATAGAAAAATGTATTTGAGAAGTGTACAACACTTTTAATAGTGTTTGTTTCTGGGTGATAGAAGTATGGGTGATTTTTTTTTTTCTTTTTACTTCTCTGTTTTCAAATTTTTCTGCAATGAGCATATACTATATGCTCTTGATTAAAGTGAATCATTTGCATCCAGGATATATGGAAGATTGAGTGCCCTTGGACTTTCTCTTTCTTTTGGAACCCACTGAAAAGAACAAAAAGAACTGGAAAGGGAGACATTATTCTCTTATGAATATGAAAGTAAGAAATAGATGCAACTTGGTTTCAGATTCTTTTAAGAATACTTTGCCAGATAGTGGAATCTGGACCAAATTAAAAGAGGGTTTCAAGGGTATTCTCAAACAAGGTGCAGATTTTGAAATATGTTTAAAAGCTACATAATAAACTGACAGAAAGGCTTGTACTGGGGAAGGGGCAAGATACACAAAATACATATGACAGACACATCCTTCTACTCCCCATCTCCTCTTTCCTGCCAGTGTAGTTGTATCATAGTTTTGGTTAGATCACCATTCAGTATTTACATTATAATGGCTCTGTAAGTTTTATTCACTGCTGAGCCACATATTATGATTATTTTTCATGTATAACTTTGACTTCCCATGGAATAATTGTTTGCTTTGTTCTGAAGCCTTTCTGATTCCTTATCTTTTCTATGTGACTTCAGGAAGTTTACAGGAATCTTCCTTTAAGATTCAGTATTTGGAAATTTCACAGTAATATGCTTTGGTCTGGGTCTGTTTTTCTTCTCTTCTGCTGGGCGCTTGGTTGCTCCGTTCAATGTGGAAACTTGGGAATAATTGTATTTTGGGAAATTGAAAATTTTTTTCTGTGATGATTTTCTCCTCTCCATTTTTTTTCCCTTCTTTGGATGTTGAGATTAGTTCTCTTACTTTCTTAAAGTATCACCTTCATCTTCCATCTGTTTTTTGCTTTTTTCTTTACTTTCTGGAGAGTTCTTCACCTTTATCATCTCATTCTTCTATTGAGTTTTTCATTTCTGCTTTTATGTTTTTAATATCTTAGAATTATGGTTTTTGTATTTTCTGGATACTTTTGTAGTATCCTGTTCTTGTTTTATCATTGCGATAGTATATTGTTTCATTGTCAGGGAATTTATTTACTTTTTAAGCTTTCTTTTCCTAATTTGTCCAAGTTACATTTTTCTGTGTGTTTATTTTGATTATTATCCTTCAAGTTAAAGGCTTTCTTCAAATATTTGTTAGCTCATGATGGTGTTCTCAGATTTTTGGCTGGGAGACTAAAGCTGTTTACAAGTTCTGAACTCAAGGGTGGGCTTGTCAGCTCTGAGCTTTGCTCTGGGATGATCCGACTGAGCTGTTCATTTGGGGGAACTTCTGATGTTAGTATCCTTAGGTCTTTCTTATTGGGCTGATCAGCGTATTCAGACAAGACTTTGAGTCTCCTGTTTGGAAGGTGAAGAAGAGCTGGTGCCAGAATATGCTGGGAGCTGAGAGTGGGGAGAAGGCTAAGGATCTCAGCATCCAGTCTGCCTGTGGTTTATCTGCCCTATTATCCTTGTAGGCCAACTTTCATCTGTGCCAGATTTCCCCCAGTTGAGAGACCCTCTGTTTCAGTTTTTAGAGAATAAAGCTCTGGTTTTTGCCAGGATTGGGTAAGAGAAGCAGCCCAGCTATGCAGAATAGGGTTTAACGGTATATGTATTTCTGACTCTTTTTTATCCTGACTGGTTCTTAAATAGACTTTTCAACCAGTCCCCCTTGTTTTAGCCCCAGTTCACTCTCACTTCCAAAGGTACCTGGTTCCATTGATTAAGAAGTTTTTTTAGAATTCTAAAATTAAATTGGATTGGTTTTCAGCTTCGTCTACTGTCCACTTAAGATTCAGTTTTTTCAGGCCTGTTAAATCCATCTGCTTTCTAGTTTCTGAAATTTTATTGCTATTGTCTCTTCTCCTTAGTCTCTTTTTCTTTCTTAGTTTGTGTCTTCTTAAAAAATAATTTGTACAAAACAATTTTGATGGGGGTTGAACTTTACCTGAAAGTTGATAAAACTGGTCTCTTTATGACAGTATGTCGTTGGCTTCTTTGCCTTGATTTGTTTTAAATCATTGTTATTCACAGTATCCCAATTATGTTTTCACCACCGAATAGACATGTAGAAACAAATAGAAGGATGAAGCATCATACAGGTAGTCTACTCTGAAGTGAATTGTTGGATTTAGTTGAACGTTTCAGAACAAATTGTAAAATTTGATAGAAATAAAGAACAAAGTAGAAAAACCTGTTTTTTTTAATGTAATGGAAAGTACATGGTAATTATGATGAGTTCTATTTTTATATTTCTTTGTAAGTCTCATGACTTACTGATTTGCTAGAGCAACAGTAATATTTTATTTTGTATTCTAGAAATGTGGTCTTCACAGACGTAAATTCCATACTTCGCTACCTGGCTCGAGTTGCAACTACAGCTGGGCTCTATGGCTCTAACCTGATGGAACATACTGAGGTAAGGAATGAACAGTTCCTGGGTGGGGTTGTGTTTTGTTTTAGTTTATGCTTCTGTTTTTTTGAGAACCTCATCATTTTATTGTTGGCTTAGGTACTATTATTCTATTTAAGGATATTAATGAAACGTTAGTTATAGATCAAGTTAAGGAATTCTCATCTTGTTTTTATTTTCAGAAAAAAACTCTTAGCTCCTAAGTTTGAACTTTTAATCCCATACCAGCTGTCCTATTGGGTCGTTGAGTGCTGTCTTCCTCTTCTAAGATTCCTAGAATTTCATAGCTGGATGGGACTGTATAGATCATTTTATGCAACTCTACTTTACAGATGAGGCAACAGGCTTAGAAAAGTTGAGGTTTTTCCCAAGGTCACGCACATAGTTTGGATCCATTTTCCTTTCTAAGTATACCTTATTTAATTAATTACAACAATAGTAGATTAAGTTTCAAAACTAAATTCTGTAATCTGGGATAAGAAAAGCTTGGTACTAACTGATGTTGTTTTTTATTTGTTTGTTTGAATCTAAACCCTGGGGTGCATTTCTCTTCTGTCTTTTGTATTGACAGATTGATCACTGGTTGGAGTTTAGTGCTACAAAATTGTCTTCATGTGATTTGTTTACTTCTGCAATCAACGAGCTCAATCATTGCCTGTCTCTGAGAACATTCTTAGTTGGAAACTCTTTGAGCTTAGCAGATTTATGTGTTTGGGCCACCCTAAAAGGTATCAATAATAATTCTTTTTTTTTTTTTTGTGAGGAAGATCGGCCCTGAGCTAACATCTACCAATCCTCCTCTTTTTGTTGAGGAAGACTGGCCCGAGGCTAACATCCATGCCCATCTTCCTCCACTTTATATGGGACGCTGCCACAGCATGGCTTGACAAGTGGTGTGTTGGTGTGAGCCCGGGATCTGAACCGGCGAACCCTGGGCCACCGCAGTGGAGCATGTGCACTTAACTGTTTGTGCCACTGGGCCAGCCCCTCAATAATTCTTCTTAAAAAATGTCCTGTTTTAATTATTTAATATTTCGCTAGATAAGAAGTACACATATTTCTATGTGTACGAATGTGTGTATCTGCATATCTATATCTATAGGCAATCACTTAGGACTTTCTTACAAAGGAATGACCACCCTGGCTATGTTATTCCCTGGGGGTCATCTCTCTTTCAATACCCAAGCACCTCTCTTGCTTTTGGAGCTGACCTTGTTCCTGCTAAAGAAGCTCTGATCATAAAGAAATCATTTATATCAGCACCTCTCCCATCTCAGCAGTTACTTTACTCCAGGCCCCGTTGTCTCTGACTTGCTTATTGTTCAGTAGGTGTGAGTATGTGTGTGGGGTGATGTGGGGTTTTTCCTCTGGGAGGTCGCTTTTTTCCTCTTCTATGACTAGTTTGCAACAGGTAAGGATATGGGATTGATGAGAGGAGAGGTACAGGGGCGACTTGAATTTTGTTAGTACTTTTTCTTTAAAAAAAACCTGAAGCAAATATGCCAAAATGTTTTATCATTCTTTAAATCTGGGTTATGTGGGGTAGTTTTTATATTCTCTGTACTTTTTTGTGGCGTACACTTTTCTCCAAATTAAATTGTTATAGTAATAACATAAAATAAAGACCTTTTCTAATTAGACCTTTTCATGTATAGGTTTATGTTGGACAATTTTGTATATTTTGGACAATTTTGTATATTTTGATTTTTGACTTAATGTTCATGAAAGAAAGGTAGTATCTTAAGGATTTAGCATTGTGATGTTAAAGGGTTAAAGATACTTTTATTCGGTACCATTTTTGATGTTACATGTGAAGAACGAGCTGCTTCTACTTCTTGATGTTGATTTTTATTTTGTTCTCTAGTTGATTTACTTAAAGCTTTTTCTTCATTATGAAATGTAGCACTGGCCTCATAGTGGGGGTGTGGCGGAGGTGAGGGCAGGATTTAGTATTTACTTCAGGGAGTTGAACTAAAAGAAATATTTCTAATTAACTTTTGTGAGTTCTGTAAAATATATTAAAGTATTAGAAAACCTAGATTTTACAATTTGCATTATAGAAGCACAACTTTAAGCCATCTCATTTACTTAAATTAACCACAACTGAAACTTTGCTTTTGAAGTTGCAGATTTATTGAATGGTGGTAAAATTGTGTTTGCTAATAGGAAATGCTGCATGGCAGGAACAGGTGAACCAGGGCAAAGCTCCTGTTCATGTGAAACGCTGGTTTGGCTTTCTTGAAGCCCAGCAGGCCTTCCAGTCAGTAGGTACCAAGTGGAATGTTTCAGCAACCAAAGCTAAAGTGGTAAGCCTGTTTTATTTTTTTTAATGCTGACGTCTCTGTCTCTCTGAGACCCTAGGTCTGAAAAAAAATTATTCCTACTCATAGTTTATTTTTTTTTCATAAATAAGAGATCTTGGAAGAATCTGCTGTTGTTAAATCTTGGTTTGACTTTAATTGTTTAACTACGTAAAGCCTTAATCTTTGTAATTATATGTTAAAAGATTATGATCATCCAGTGTGTGTCCCCCCAAACTCCAAGTAACTAAAATCTTGCCATTTCACAGCTATTACAATCTTTTCTTCCTCCTGAATCTTCTGTTCTCTGGTTTTTGAACCATTGACCATTGAGTCCTGGGCTTGGGTAGAGGCTTTGTGTTGATTCTGTAGGAGGATGTGACATAGAATACAGTAGAAAAGGTCCTCTTCCCCAGCCAGAGTCCCTCTACTTTGATCTGTTTTACATACTGGGCATGTGTAGTAAAAGTTTCAATTTAAACGTGTTTTGTTGCAGTAAAATTTGAAAACTATTGCCTGCTTGTATAAAGACACTACAATCTACTAAGTTGTTTTGGCTAAAAATCTTCACTCATCTCTCACCACTTTTCACATCTAGTCAGTCAACAAGTTCTATTATTACTTTTCATATCTATAGATTTGTTTTCTGTTTCCCCTGCTGTTGATTTTTATTGAGGCCTCATTACCCCACTGCTTGTTTTAATACCATGAGCTCATCACTGAACTTCCTTCCTTTGGTCTCTCTTTTTCCTAGTTCAGCACCTGCACTGTCTGAGTATCATTTTAGAAAATACAAATAAATGGTCCCATTATCCCTGAGAACTCCCCCTTGCCTAAAACTTAAAAGCCAAGCTAATAAGGACCTTTATGTCTTTGGCCTAATCAACTATTTCAGCTTCCTTGCCCACCCACCCAACATGCATTCCTTACATTCCGTGGACATTGCACAGCTCTTCCCTGCCTTTGTGTCTTACCTGTGCTGTTATTCCTTTTCTTAGAATGAATGCCCTTATACACTCTCCATCTGATACATTTCCACTTATTGTTCAAGCTCCAGCTTGGTTCTTAACCTCCTTTTAAGCTTTTTCTGATGACCCTAGATGCTGTTGGTTAACTTCAACTGACTGCTGTAATAGCACCCTGTATATATATATGTACTTATATTTCTGTTGTTGGTATTTGGTTTTACTTATGTCCTTCACAAGATTTTGAGTCCCCAGTGCAGGGATGGTGTTCTAGTCCTGATTTTTCTCATAGCCATGCCTGGTACATAGTGGGTACTAAGTATTTGTTGAATTAATGTATTCTTAAACATTTAACCAGATAACTATTTTTGTTGTTCTGCTTTTTAGGCACCTGAGAAAAAGCAAGATGTTGGGAAATTTGTTGAGCTTCCAGGTGCTGAGATGGGAAAGGTTACCGTCAGATTTCCTCCAGAAGCTAGTGGGTAAGAAAATATAACTTATAATTGAATGGATTTAGTGGAAAAGCTTTAAGGCAGTTATTAAATACTTTTAATATTAATAAGTTCATAATATAGAAGAAAATAAGTAAGATTTTAATTGTGGGAGTTAAAATTCTAAACATCTTAATAGTTTCTTAATTATTTACAGTTAATGTTAATTTATTAAATTTGTAGTTTTAGTTTATTAAAGAATAGGAGAGATGACATTTTTATTTTACCCCACACAGAATTTTAATTATAAATAGAAAAATATCCATGAAGAGAAAGGCTTAAGTTTTATTTATATTTTGAGATTTTTAGACTTTAATTTAATAAGAATTTGCATTTGTACCCTGGGCAGTGATTTCAGTTAGCAATAGAAGTTATGGTAGAATTATTTTAAGTTATGATTTTTTTCCCAAATAAGGGAAGGGGAGTCCTGAAAAGCCCATTCCTCTTCAACTCTTTCTGTTATTAGCAAGTTCCCCAACCCCTTTCACTCTTGGCACCTATAGAAAATAATAATATTTGCATAGCTCATTAGGAGAAGAGACTGCTCTGGCTGGAGGCCTCCAGCCTGCGGCTACCTCAGACCTTGCCCAGCATTCCCCAGGGCTGAGGGGAGTCTCTGCCCTTGCACACGTGTCAGCCTCTTTAAAGCATCCTGGACAGGCTTTGTAATAGAGCCCTTCCAGTGATATGAATATAGTAAAATGCCTCTTTTTAAAGCAGTTAGCCTCTCTTAGAAACTTAACCATTAGGAAAGTATTGTGCCATATTTTGTAAATGAGATGATTATTTTTTTCCAAATTTTGTTCCAGGTTGTGTATTCTGTAACCAAATTCTTACACATCTAGTAAATGGAATATGTAGACAATAGAAAGTGGCAGATTAGGAAGCAATTTTATTTTAGCTTTGTATTAATAGTTCTTCACAGACTATTTCATAAGCGCCATTAACAGCACGATCAGTTTTAGAATTCCACATTTTCTCTCTGCTTTTCTAAGTTTGGTGATTTAGGTGGTGAAATAAAGGATAGGTAGAAGGAGATGAAGGAGAAGTAATGATTCTGGAAAATTCACAGACTATATCATTAAATGATCGATTGGTAGTTGATTAAGTAGAATTAGTCATAAATAATACTTATCTTACATAGGTTAATTCCCACATCTTGGGTCCCTGCCACCCAGTATTCTGCTCTTGTGTCCTTGGTGTGAGAGGTCATGGTTGTCCCGTTGGGTAGTGACTTTAATAGTTTGATAAAACCTTCTTTTTTAGCAGTGGCTATTTATAGCTATGCTATTTGAACATTTGTCCTTTTTGAATCTATATTTTTTGTCTTTGTCGCTTCTTGGAATAGTGAGCTCCTCATGTTTATTATTTACTGTATAAAATACGTTTATCTGTTCTAAATTATGTCAGTTTCAGAGACCATGCTCTTGACCGAATACGGTTTTGGGATTTGGAATATAAATCAATGTTCAGGTTTTTAAAATATTCATGATTTTGATCATATCCCCTTATACTGCTAAAGAATTCTTCTTTAATTATTTGTTAATCATTATTTTTTTCTTTTCCGTGTCTTGCTTGAGAGACCAGATGGCTTCACTTGCGCGTCTTATTCTTAGCTAATCATATATGTAGCACCTGTTATGTGCAGGTACCACCAACTGCTTTACGTAGAGTGACTTATTTAATCCTGACAGCCCTGTGAGGAAGGCAATGTTATTATCTCCATTTTACAAATGTTTTAGCAACATTCATATAACGTTTTAGCAACTTGCCAAACTCAAACCTACGCTGTCTGGCTCTAGATATGACTAAAAATTACACTGCCTGTGTCTGTTATGTGTGGCAGAAGCCCAATTCAGCATCAGTACTAACACAGCATGAATCTTATTTTTTTTTGCTGTTCTGATTTAGGTTGTCTCTTGAGTTGATTGTTTTAGTTACCTTGTGAATATTTTATAGTCCTGTTAGCTTTCTTGAGCTAATGTTAGAACTGTATACATTATTTCAGATTCAGAAATAATATCTTTAAGATAATGGTTTGATTTCATCACCCCTCTTAAATTAATTACTGTATGTAAAGCATGTTGTCAAATAGTAGGTCATCAGTGATTGTTAATCTTTTCTTTTTTCTCTTCTTAACAATGGGTATATAGCATGTTACTAGGGGTAGCACTTTCAGGGAAAACTGTGCACAGTATTTCTGTTTCTTTTTCGGAACTCATAGTCCTTTATTTTATTTTTAATAAGCTTTTATTTTAGAATAATTTTATATTAACAGGAATGTTCCAAAAGTAGTAAAATATAGTTCTCATATACCCTGTACCTAGTTTTCCCTAACGTTAGCATCTTACATTACTGTGGTACCTTTGTCACAATTAATGAACCAATATTGATATATTATTATTACCTAAACTCCATGCTTTTTTTTATTTCATTAGTTTTTCCCTGATGTTCTTTTTCTGTTCTAAGATTTCATCTGGGATATCACTTACAGCCCTTTATTTTATGCAGAAAGTTTTGTATAACTCTAAATGCATTGCCTTGTACTTGTCTGCATTAACCTGTGCATATAAACTCTTTAAAATTGAATGATTGATCTAGAATGCTGCATGGATTTCTAAAAAATGGATTGATTTAAAAAAGTGCTATAAAGACATACAAGGAATATGACTTTTCTTTCCCCATTGATATCTACTGAGATCACAGGTGTGCATGAAACTGGGTGACTATCTGTAGAACAGTGTGACTGCAGCTACCATTATCAATTGAAACTAATAAAAATTAGTGAGAGCTGATTATTTAAACTTCCTTGCTTCATGGCTTGTTTGATGCCCAATAAAGTGTATTTTCAACAGTAGTGGTATAGGATATTGCTTTTTACTCACTTCATTGATAGAGGGGGATGTTGATGTGTAATTATCAACAGTGCCTCTGATTTATTTTATTCCTTATAATTGTCATAGGAACAGAATAGTGTTTTCATAGATTGTGATTCATGGAGTGTTCGTACTGGATGAGATCTTCAAGATCATTTGGTTAAAATCCTTTTATTTTGGCGTTTGAGAAAACTGAAGCCTAGAGAAGTAAAGTGGCTTTTCTGTGGCTCCTAATTCTCATGTACTCTTTCGTTTAGTTATCGCAGTGACAGTGGCAGTTTCAGAGGTGCTTCTCTCTGATGGGCATTAGCCGGGTGCCCAGTCCTCAGTAGCATCGGGTCTTACAAAAGACACACTACCTTGTAGCCTTGGAAACAGTTTTGAAAGCAGTTTTCCTCTAACTAAATGACCCTTTATTCCTTTGTAAAAGCAAGAAAAAGAAGATTCTCCTTAGTGTTGTAATATTTGTAAATAACTTGTACCTTTGTCAGATTTTGTATGTGAAATTGTTTCTTATGATTATTTTATAAATGTTGTAGTCTTTTTTCCTTCCTGTCAGGGTCAGATTTTCTATCACAGTACTTCTTGCTAGAGAATAAAATATGATTGGAGTACCAACTAGAAGGATTTTTGTTTAGTTCTCATCTCCTCAAGAAGGTTAAGTTTAAGTATTTAGTTAAAACATGTTAATGAGTTTCTCTGTGAAATGTTTTTGTTTTAGTTACTTACACATTGGGCATGCAAAAGCTGCTCTTCTGAACCAGCACTACCAGGTTAACTTTAAAGGGAAACTGATCATGAGATTTGATGACACAAATCCTGAAAAAGAAAAGGAAGATTTTGAGAAGGTAATTAAAGGTGTAGTGATGACCCTTTGTCAGAAAAGTTAATTAAAATTAGAGGGTGACCTGATACCTTCATGGTATGAAAATAAATTAAGTTTGTTCTCATAGCTGCTTTTTTCCCTCATCTGTGTATTCTGTGTCTGAGACCTAAGCCAAGAAATGTTGAGCTCCCATATGAAAAAACTTCAGTTTATTTTTTTCTTCCTCAATTGTTATTGAATTTACTGAAGTGCTATATTTTCATATAAGTACTAGTTTCTTAAATGAATTGGTCACTAGAGGCAGGTTTCCTTTTTGTCATATGATCTTAAGTTTGTGAATGAAACAAACATTAAGTAGGTATTGGAAAATGTGAAGATTTCCTAGCCTCTTATATCATCTTTGTTCAGAAGCACTGCAATATATTCAAAGAGAAGGTAAATAATTGTCAGTACGACCAATAATAACCAGCTTTTCCAGAGTAAATGGGAAGCTCCATCTTGAGATCAGCTTTCTCAGCTGAAAATTTAGAGGCTAGTATAATGAATGTCTCTTTGTTTTTTGTTTTTTTTTTTTTCCTGATCTAATATCATACGACTTCCACAACCATTTTCAGGCTGTGTAAGACTGATGGTGTATTGTTACATTTGCCCAAATGCAGTATCAAGGATTGAAAGTGCACAAGAAAATGCAAAAGATAAACCGATGGTTATTTTGGATTCTTATTGCAGGTTATCTTGGAAGATGTTGCAATGTTGCATATCAAACCAGATCAATTTACTTACACCTCGGATCATTTTGAAACTATAATGAAATATGCAGAGAAACTAATTCAGGAAGGGAAGGCTTATGTGGATGATACTCCTGCTGAGCAGATGAAGGCAGAACGTGAGCAGAGGATTGAATCCAAACATAGAGAAAACTGTAAGGCATATTTTTTGTTTTTATGTTTTAATTGATATTCTTCTTGTATTCTGCTTCTTTAGTAGAACATGATTTCTTTTCTATGAAAGATGCTGGTCTGAGACACATTTGGAAATGTGATTCATAGGTTAATTCATCTCTTAGAAATCTTTTTTCCTTCTCTCCCCTTTACATTGTTATTACTTTGTCAGCGTCACAACTTCACGTGAAGTGTGTGCGCCCTGAGCATCTCACTCATTACCTGCAGTCTTTTGTGTTGCATTCGTTCCATTTGAATGATTCCTTCTGCAACATTTTGTAGTCTCTCAATTTAAATACTTAGCCTTTCCAAACTATTTGACCATAATGTTATTAGTACCCAAATCTTCCTTTCAGCATGTGCGTAAATGTGAATATAATATATAAGCTTGGTACTACCCTATATTGGTGGTCTAGTCGTTAAGATTTGGTACTCTCACTGCCTTGGCCCCAGGTTCATTTCCTCTCAGGGAACCACACCACCTATCTGTTGATTGTCATACTATGGCAGCTGTTTGTTGCTGGGATGCTGAAAGCTATGTCACTGGGATTTCAAATACCAGCAGGGTCACCCATGGTGGACAGGTTTCAGTGGAGCTTCCAGACTAAGACAGACTAGGAAGAAGGACCTGGCCACCCACTTCTGAAAAAATTGGTCATGAAAACCCTATGAGTAGGGACCAGCTGGGAGGTGTAGTGGTTAAGTTTGTGTGCTCTGCTTCGGCGGCCTGGGGTTCTCAGGATCGGATCCCGGTCGCGGACCTATGCACTGTTCATCAAGCCATGCTGTGGTGGTGTCCCATATAAAGTGGAGGAACGTGGGCACAGATGTTAGCTTAGGGCCAGTCTTCCTCAGCAAAAAAACAAAAAACTATGACTAGTGGTGGAGCATTGTCTGATATAGTGCTGGAAGGGGAGAGGATGGCACAAAAAGACTGGGCAGGGTTCCACTCTGCTGTCCACAGGGTCACCAGGGGTCAGAATCCACTCACTGGCACTAAAAACAACAAACTACCCTATATCTCTGAAATATCACTTGACAAAAAAGCATGTCTTTCTTATTCATTACTTGTCCCCTGAGCTTCTGAATTGGACTATTTTCATTCTGTAATTATGTTGTCAGAACTTCCACACTAGTATATTTAAATCTTGAGTGTCACATTTGGGAAGTATAGTAAATTCAAATTGTTACAGAAGTCTTTCTTTTCTTTCTTGCTTTCTTTTTTTAAGTTTTTTACATTTTCAAAGATAGTTAACAACTGGACTTTTAGACCTAACTTGATTCTTCGAGGGTCGGTAGAGTGTCCATCATATCTTCAGTAGTTTCCACAGAGAATCCTTAACAGTTCTTTTTTGTCCGTGTGGGGTAGGTTTTCAATGTTCTGACATAGGTAGGACCATAGTCACTTGGGATATAGCGTTCTTTTTTCTGGGATTAAACTTATATCACTATCTGTTTTCTGTCGTCTCATTTTCTTGGGTCCAAGAGTATCCTGCTTTCCACTGGAATGACCGAAGGGGCTTTCAGGGAGCCCACGGGCTCAGGCTCTCAGCCCGAGCCGTGTTCTTCAGACGGGCACGGGCTGCAGCGCCGACGCCTGTGGGCCCCATGGGCCAGGCCAAGCCGGTCTGTCCCCTGGGCGTGAGGCGGCAAAAGAACAGAATGCTTCTGCTTCACAGGCATAGTGTTAAATTGAGGGGTGGGGGGCTGTTGTGTCATGATGGGAAAATGGAAAACACTGGATGGAGAAACCTCGAGGCCTCATACTTCCACTCTTACCCTTAATCAGTACTGCATCAGTGGACTGTATTGACTTGACTTCTTCTAAAACATTTATAGAGTACATTTCCTAAGTGTTTTGTGAGACTTCTTTGAAAAAACGATGCATTTACTCTTGGTGCCAGATATTGGAACTATTACAGTACTTTTAAACTAACAGAGTGTGCTTATAATATAAAACGGGAACATGAAATTTTGTATCAAATTACAGGACTATTAAAATAATTTGAATTTAACCAGGTTAGTAATACGTTAAATAAACCGTGATATAACTATCATTTTATAGCTATTGAGAAGAATCTACAAATGTGGGAAGAAATGAAAAAAGGAAGCCAGCTTGGTCAGTCCTGTTGTTTGCGTGCAAAAATTGACATGAGTAGTAACAATGGGTGCATGAGGGACCCGACGCTTTATCGCTGCAAAATTCAGCCACACCCAAGAACTGGAAATAAATACAAGTAAGTGTATCTCTTTCATTATGCTAGGTGGCTTACTGTGATTTTGCTTTCATGCTCTCTGTTAACGTGGAGTAGGTGCTGAATAGTCAAGAGACCTGGATCTTTGTTCATCCACAGATTAACTGGCCTTCGGTAAAGCATGTAGCCTGTTGGGCTGTTTACTCACCTATCAATTTGGATTATACTAGGTTATTTCTAAGATCACTCAATGACTATAAAAGTCACCAAATCTGCCTAAAGTTGCTTTTTATATGTATTGATTACTTATTATACTGTAATGTGTATCCTTAGATGAAGATACTTTTCTTCCTCTTATAAACTTTGGTTCTGCTGGACATAAATCTGATAGAATTGAAAATTTACAGAAATATGAACAATACAATAAAGTATCATGTTTGTTTTTCTAGTTTCAGTTAGTTTTCTGGATAACATATTTTTTTCTTTAAATGATTACCCTCCTACCTGCCATTAATTTACTTTATAAAGTAACCATAGAATATATTTTCTTATACTTTGAAGAAGCCTACTACATACAAATGCTGAATTATAACTTCTTTTTTTTTTTTTTAATTTTTTGTTTATTGCAGTAACATTGGTTTATAACATTGTAAAAATTTCAGGTGTACATCATTGTACTTCTATTTCTGCATGGACTACATCATGTTCACCACCAAAATACTAATTACAACCCATCACCACACACATGTACCGAATTATCCCTTTCACCCTCCTCCCTCCCCCCTTCCCCTCTGGTAACCACCAATCCAATCTCTGTCCCTATGAATTATAACTTCTGGAGAGATTGGTGAATGTAAACGATTGCCTAGTTAGCTAATGTGACTTTCTTTAAACTTGTGGGTGTAGATGTGTGTGTCTGTATATAGACAAACACTTATGTGTGTGGTTGCATGGGTATATGTATTTCCTTCATTTTTAACAGGGTGATTGCTCCTTGTTTTACCAAGCAAATACTTGGAATACATTTGGGAAAGCAAATTTGGATACACGTTTTCAGTATCAAATAATTGCAAAGCATAATGCAGTAGCATTTTAATGAAGTTGTATCTTAGAAATTAGAAGGCATAATGCAATAATATATTTTTTATTTTTATTTATTTTTTTATCGAGGTAACATTGGTTTATATATTTTTTTGAAATTAAAATTGTGTGTGTGTTGTGTACATTATTTTAGGCAGAAATTGTTTTCAAGACTATTCTATCTTAAATGAAGTTTTAATTAACTTAGTAATTTTCTTCTCTTTTACCCGTCAGAGGAGGAAACACTCTTCTTCTTGAATGCATTTAATTACAAAGTGTTAAGCTTAGGGATTTACTTGAGTGCAGTATTAAGATATTGAAAAGCTAAATTCCCTCAAAATTATTATGTATATTGTTTATTGCTTCCTACCATGATATACATTGGCCATTACAGAAATATGCCTGTAGAATTTGCTATGCCAATACCCAATTGTCTATTAAATTGCAGATTTGCTTTTTTTTGGTTTGTTTGAATATTGAGTGGGTAACTGATTCATTGTCTTCAAAGACTGATAAGGTTCCTAACTTGTGAAGAATTATATTTCAAGTTAGTATTACTGCTTATAATGCCTTATCTAAGATGGAAAGGTAAAATGCTTCATGTTGATATTCAAAACATTCCTTTTTTTTCTAGTGTTTATCCGACGTATGATTTTGCCTGCCCCATAGTTGACAGCATTGAAGGTGTTACACATGCCCTGAGAACAACAGAATACCATGACAGAGATGAACAGTTTTATTGGATTATTGAAGCTTTAGGCATAAGAAAACCATATATTTGGGAATATAGTAGGCTCAATCTCAACAACACAGTGCTGTCCAAAAGAAAACTCACATGGTTTGTCAACGAAGGACTAGTAGATGGATGGTATGTTTACTGTTACCTATATTTGGAAGGAAGTAAGGACGTGATATATCGGTGATTTTTAAACTACTTTGAGGGGTGGGGAGGATGGATGGGAGGAGGTGGAATGGGAGACCTGGAGGGTTTCTGGTCCTGGTCTTTATTTCATCCAATAGAAAAGTGGCTGTGACTGTCTGGTCCTTCATAGATCTGGTTACCACTCTCCACACTCTGCTGAGGCTCACAGGTTTTTCTTTTCACCTGGGTCCCAGGAAGGCCAAAATGCCCTGAGTTGAGGTGAACACATAAATGGTCTCTGCCTTGGTGGTGAAGACCCACCTTATGGAGCAGTTGCCTAGAGGATTCAGCACCTAGAAAAAGTTTGAAAATCTCTGTATCATGTTAATAACCTATATGGGATTTCCATGAGAAAGATGAATATAAAAATTAAAGTGATTTTGTAGCCATGGGTCATTGAAACCTGTTCAGATGGGTTACCATGTTTATAAGTCTGTTTTTTTACCTGAATTAACAAGAATGTGTATGCTAATTTATATTGCATCATATAATGGTGACATATGTTAAGTATTTGTTGAATAATATGTGTTTTATATTGTTTTACTCTGGAGCTGAATTTGACAAAAGGCAAGTTTATCTTGCACCCCATACAAAGGGTATTATTGCAAACTTACTGAAGTTTGCAAATCTGCAGAATATTAATAACCAACATGCATATTTTTCCAACCCAAAAGGCTTTATAAAGTATATTCATATGTTGATGACATGATACCATCTCTTATCTGATTCTCATGGTCACATGTAGAATAGGGATCATGAATGTTTGTTAAATAAAAAGCAAGAGGGGCTGGCCTGGTGGTGCAATTGGTTGGGTGTGCGCGCTCTGCTGTGGCAGCCCGGGGCTCACTGGTTCAGATCCCAGGCGCGCACCGAGGCACCGCTTGTCCGGCCATGCTGTGGCGGCGTCCCATATAAAGTGGAGGAAGATGGGCATGGATGTTAGCCCAGGGCCAGTCTTCCTCAGCAAAAAGAGGAGGATTGG